TCCCGGGCTGAGCACACAGCGTCGAGTCCCGCCAGCGCAGGCGACAGGAGCCGGCGGCGTTTTCAGGCCACCCGGTAGCGGGGGCTCGGAGACTAAGTTTGTCGGGGGACTCGCGGGTCTCCAGCACCGGATTCCACGAGGCTGGCCTGGAGTTCCGTGTCTGTGGGTGGACACGCTCACGGACACGCGGCGATGGGCCCGTTATTGTGCCCCTGGACTCGGCACACAGCGCAGGGATCCGGTTACCATGAGGACCGACAGCCTCAGTGTCCCTGGACTTGAACCAGGGGAGTCTCAGCGTTTCCTCCACTCTGACCAAGCCCGGCCACTGGGTGGCCCGTCGGCTGGGGGCGTGGCGAGGTTGGCAGGCCCATTTGGATGCACCCTGCCCTTCTTTGAGGTCCCAGCCCCGCTTCTGCCCCCACCCTAGATGGGACTTTCACTCGCTTGCCTCTGGGGACGGGGGTCATGGAGGTGCCCGGCACTCACTGCCTGGGCGGGAGAGACAGTGGCAGCGTTGTGGCCGAGCGGCCTCCCGCTCAGCTCTGTGATGGATGGACCAAACCGCCCGCCCCGCTAAGCTCTCCGAGGGGGCAGCCCGCCGCACTGGCTGGGCGGAGCCGGCTCACCCGACCGCCCTGGTCCGTGGTGCTTGGGGCCGCAATGCTTTCCTTTCGCAGGAACAGGCCTCCGCTCACTTCCTGGGTGCGGAGAACTCTGGGGCCAGGATCGCCTCCGCGGCGCGCTAGACGGGCGGGGCGCTGCGGGCCTGGTTCCCTTCTCCAGGACAGCACACAGATTCGGGTGCACACGGAGGCGCCCAGAGTGGAGTGTCCCGGAATGTGACTCACCCTGGGCCTGGGACCCCACAGAGGGCTCCACGCGGGCTCCGGGCTCTTCCCAAGCCTTGGCGTATGCCATTGGGGCGGGAGCGGGCCCTTCAGGGCTCCCAGTGCCCTGCTTCACCCGCCAGGCACTCTGCCCTCTGCATCCCAGATGCTGAGTGGGCCCGTGGGCCCCCCTCTCCCTATTCACTATTCTCGGGGTCTGGACTCGGCCCCTCTATCCCCATCCCCTCCGGACTCACTCCCGCTTTCTCTCTTCTCGCTGTGCGCCCCAGCCGGGCGAGGGCAGAGAGAGGTTCCCGCGCTGTTCAGAGTCCTGGAAACTCGCAGTGCCGGGGGCCCTGCTGGGCTCCAGTGTGACCTCCTCCACCCGCTGAGCCTAGACCGAGGTTACAGTGAAGCAGGTAGATCCCAGCTCTGTCCCGCCCCAGGCCCTCGGAGCCCAGGTGACCCTGAAGTTTAAATGCAACAGGAAAATGCCGAGCCAGCACTGGGTGAGGAGAAATTAAAAAGGGGAGACTCGACTTGCTGGAGGCTGAGAGCCCCCCCACCCCGCCAAAAAAAAGGTCCCGAGGAAGAGGAAAGATCGGCAGCAAACCTGGGATCATTCGATCAGTGGGGGAGGCTCCTGGGGGAGGGGCTTGCATTTTTAATTGGAATAAAATCCAGCCAGGTCCTTGATTAGCAAACAATATGGGGGGGGGGCGGTGGGGGGGGGGCGTTGTGCTTTGCCCTATAGCAGTGATGGCGAACCTTTTGAGCTCGGCGTGTCAGCATTTTGAAAAACCCTAACTTAACTCTGGTGCCGTGTCACATAGAGAAATTTTTTGATATTTGCAACCATAGTAAAACAAAGACATATTTTTGATATTTATTTTATATATTTAAGTGCCATTTAACAAAGAAAAATCAACCAAAAAAATGAGTTTGCATGTCACCTCTGACACGCGTGTCATGGGTTCGCCATCACTGCCCTATAGTGTGCCTATTTAGTTCTCACATCCTTCTTAGGAGGTAGATTGTTATTCCCATTACAGTTGGGGAAACAAAGCAGAGAGGTTAGCTAACCTGTCCAAGTCACACAGCTAGTAATTAAACAAGGTAATTAAAACCAACGACTGCAAAACTGGACAGAAGGAGGTGATCTCTGGTAACGTTTTCTGTATTAACATATCTCTAAATTAGACGTATTTTATGTTTACAATTAAAAGGCTG